CGACATTGATTTCTACCAACACTCTTATAGGCACTCCTATTCTTTGACTTTGAGCGGTTGAACTGACGACGGTTTGGATCTCGGCCTCGAACTGCTAACGCATCTCCCGATGCCTTCTCGGAGGGTTCACCATCACTCTTCCTCAACTCATAGTTCACCAAAGCTGAGGTCACCTCCTTGTAGCTAACTGTAGTTCTTCCATTGATCATAGTGAGAACGAACGTACCATAATCATCTTCGGGCAACGAACACAGAAGTAGCATCGCCTTGTCTTCATCCTCAACTATAATATCAACATTGGCCATATCTGAAAGTAGCTTAGTGAAATTGTTGACATGCTCCCTGATGGAAACCCCTCTCTTCATCTTGAACTGGTAAAATCTCTTCTTCAAGTGAAGCCGATTCTCAATGCTCTTCGTAAGATATTTCTCATTGAGTGTTTCCCACATCTTCTTCGCCGACGTCTCGTTCATAACATCATAAATAAGATCCGGCGTCAAGCATGACCTAATAACACCACAAGCTCTACTGTTCATCTTTCTCCAAACCTTATCCTCCAACTCAGCGGGTTTCTCTTTTAACTCAAGAGTCTCCTCCAAATTCTGTGCATCCAAAGCATCCATCACCTGACACCTCCACAATCCAAAATTGATCTTGCCATCGAACTTCGGAACATCAATCTTCGTGTTATTGATGCTCAGACTCTGTATCGCCTTTGTTAGAGACGAACCTGACGTGCTTGCATCTCCCATGTTGTCGATCTAGCTCTGATACCAATTGTTGTGCGCGGCGGAAGCTTTCTAGGGCAACACGAACAATAACTAGAACTAAACCACAAACAATATGCAAACCACAATCACAGCAAGAACACACAATTTACGTGGTTCGGCAAGTTGCCTACGTCCACGGGGCAAGGAGGGGGGAGTTCTTCCACTAGAAATCAAGAGAATACAAATAGGGTTACAAATCTCTCAGACCAAACCCTAAAACAAAGCGCTAGATCTCTCAAAGCTCTCTCACAATTGGATGCAATGATTCTCTCTCTTTGGCTGCTCAAATTCGTCCAACCTCTACCATAAACAAACAGGTTTAGGTATATATAAAACTTACAAAACGAACCGGGTCGAAAACCTGGAAAAACTGATATCCGCTTTGTCGGTCGACCGGCCCGGTCGACCGCGATCAATTCCGGTCGACCGGCCCGGTCGACCGCTCACCATCCAGCAGAAACCCCAAAAATCCAGAGAGACGTCGGTCGACCGGGTCGGTCGACCGCCCTCCTTCCAGATGCACAGGAAGCCTTGTGCACGAATGCGGTCGACCGGACCGGTCGACCGCCGCCTGATTTTCCTGATTCTGCTGCTGATGCTGAAATTCCTTCATGGACTACTTCTATTTAGAAAAGACAATGCAAGCTACTACTTTTAATGCACATAATGGATGTCCTTTGCAATGTACAGGATTGTTAGACAATCAGAAACGCTCTGATACCAGTTGTTAGGCAATCAGATACACTCTGATACCAGTTGTTAGGCAATCAGATATGCTCTAATACCCGTTGTTGGGGATTCAAACTACCAAACGTTTTTTTGGTCAATGAACTGAAATTTTATTCATTTCCCAATTTGATTCATTTTGAAGAACATCAATGTACCAGGAAATCTGGAAAATCAAAAGGAAAAATTACAAGTTCTCAAGTATCTCTTTCATATGTACATGTATACTCTCATTTTGAACCTTTGAAAAAACTGAAAGTTTAATATCTCTAAAAATCCGAACAGGTTGTCTCTCTTTAGCTTGAAAAATTCTCCGATCCCTCTCTTTCCAGATCATATAAACTGCAATGGAGAGACACATCCTCTTCAATTTCTTCATAGGGCCTTGACCTCTCAAATTGTGGGAGTATCAGTTCAAGATCAATCTCAATACACAAGACCTCCATCTATACCTGAACCAGTCCATTACCATGTTCCAGACTTCAGCTGAAAATTGACATTCAAAGAAAACATGGTCCCTTGTCTCCAAATGATGTCCATTGCACAAGACACAATGAATCTGATTGTGCTCAGAATACCCATTCGGTACAATATATCATTGGTGAGGAGTCTTGAATGACAAGCTAGCCATAATATAAAAGAATGTTTAGGATATAGGAAACCATCTCAAACAGTTTTTGCCCAGGCAACTACATTAGCAGGCTGGACAAGTGCCCTATATACTACAGACAACTGAAGCTTATCATCAGTGCAACATTCAGCTAAAGCATTCTTTATATTATCAGCATTTTCAAACTTGTGCAGCAACATATATCTCACTTTAAGGAGCTGCCTCCACATCCATGAATCATTAGCCTTTGATTGAACTACCCATATACTTTGGTTTTGTAAATAGTTCCCGTGGATCCACTTGATCCATAGGAGGTCCTTTTTAAGATGAACCATCCACAGGAGCTTTGTAGCAGCAACATAGTTCCAAAACTTAGCTGAAAAAAATCCCCAAACCCCCTTGCTCTTTCAAACTACCAAACGTTGGTACAACTGCTCCTTAGCTATTCGACCACCTGTCAAATATAAACTCTCTGCGGAATTTTCCCTACCGGATCTTGTGTTAAGCAATGGAAAAAAGAAATCATACCAAATCAAAAAATAGTAAGAACAAAGAACACCGAGTTTTAACGAGGTTCGACAACTTGCCTATGTACTTGGGAGCCAAACAAATAATTTCCTTTTTATTAAAGAAGATTACAAAGCTTGTATAAGAGCAGATCTCAAATTTGAGATCTCTCAAAAGAGAACCAACAGAAAACTATGTTCTAAAAGGCGCGGGATTTTTCAACTTGGAAAACCTCCTCTCTCCTCAATAAATTGCTACAGGAACTCTTCTTAAATGAACGTGATTTGCTCTGAAACTCTCGAGCTCAGTTAATGGTGCCGCCACAGAGAAAATCTTGAGGAAGAAAAGAATTGGTGCGGGCGCAGTTTTCGTGCTCATGGGTTTCCCTTTTATAGGGAAACCCTAGCCAGCTTGGATCCAGGCTGTCTCCCACAACCGCAGGCGAAGAAAAGGGAAACTCGAGCTCTTGCCTCAGCACCACAAGCTCACCTGCACGTGGCCCCACTCAATCTCGCCTGAAAACCCAACTCCAAACTCGCATGTAGCCCTCAAAACTCTGCCTGCAGAGGGTCTCGACCTCGCCTGAAACCCCTGTCGAACTCGCCTGCAAGATCCCATCTGGATCTCATGTCGATCTCGCCTGCTCCACCACGACCTCGCATGAAGCCAGCGATGTCAACTTCGAGCTCGTCTGAGCTCACCTTCACTGTTCAACCTCGCCGGAGCTCGTCGTCGACTAGGCCAAGATTTTGGGTCTACACCCTGTTTCCAACAAGGATACACAACCTATGAGCATATAATATAATTATTCCTAGGGTGCACATCAAATTCCTAGATTATGCGATAACTGAAAGAGATTGCAAGGCGGTTGTGGAAAAAAGGATGTTGGTTTCGGAACTGAACGTGGATTGAGTATGAAAATGAATGGAATGTACCATTTTATACTTTAGTTAATAATTAAATAAAAAGTAATCTTACAACCACCGAAGCAACTCTGTTCGTTTGCAAATAGCTTCAATGCTTCTAAAATGAATTCATTGTGTTCTGATGGCATGCTTTGTAATTACTTTCCGTAAATTTTGCTCTTTATACTTCCGTTGAAGCCCACGTACTTGTTTAGAGCCCCACACCCAATTTTGTAAATTGAACAACTTTCAAGGGCAATTGAAGAAGTCTATTATCCATCATCTTCCCCTCACCTAATTGTTTTTTATTACTAACAACTATTGTGCACCCTGTGTAAAGCACATTCCCCTATTTTTTTAAGCACTGTATTTTAAATTTGTCTGCCTCTAAGTTTTAATACATTTAATTTACTTATTGTTTGCTTAAATCATATCTACTCCCCTATACTTAAAGAATGATCCAAGTTTTAATCCATTTGATTTAAATATCATATCTACTCCTCTATACTTAAAGAAGCATCCAGGTTTTAATATATTTTATTTGCTTTACTATTTATGATATAGTAAATTTTTGTAGCATGAATGGTAACTTCAAATATGGATGACCAGATTTGATTTACTGTTCATACTACAATATTTACTGTAGCATGAGCAATAATTCTTTGGATTCTCTTTTAAATATAGAGGAGTAGATTATATTGACTCAATCCTCCTCTATTATTTACGTCTATCATTTTCTTTTTACTGGTTACTTGGATCAACCCATCATCTTAGTTTTTTTTTGTTTGTCAAGTTTGCTTTCTTTTTCACCATTTTTTTTAGATCAAAAAGCACTAAATTCTTCGCATATTCTAATCAATTGGTGTCAAAAGAAACATAAGATTTTAAAATTTCCAACTAATAACAAGTTTTAGTAACTTGTTAGAAGACTTCTTTCCTCATAAAACTCTTTAGAAGATTTCAGATCAAGAATGGGAGAGATTTGGGAATTAAATGAGTTTTCAAAAATGGGTTTAAAGAACCCTTGTTCAACTGGATCAAGCTCTCTTAATACTGATATTTGCTATTTGATGACATTAACTTCTTCGATTTGTTGATAGGTATTTATTAATGAATATATGTAGAAAAATTTAGATATGCGATCATTGAAAGAGATTGTAAGGCAGTTGTGGAATGTTGGTTTTGGAACTGAATGTGGATTGAGTATGAAGATGGAATGGAAAGTACAATTTTACCCTTTAATTAAAATTATAATAAAAAGTAAATTTAGGAGCACCGAAGCAACTCTGAATTCATTTATCCGGAGGTACTTTTTCATTTAAGTCCTTAAAAAATTGATAATTGCATGCCAGTCACCCAAATTATCTCAGTTGTATTATATTTAGGCTTTTCTTTTTCTCTCTTTTTTTCTGAGAATGGTAATGGCACATCACTAATATAGCCATCACGAAATGATTCCCTAGTTTGTAAGCCATAAGGCACTTTACAATCAAAAGCAATTTTATTTCTTCTCAATTCTTATTACAGGCAACAGTATTCATTTACCAAGTATAAACATTTTATCCCCTTTAATTGTTGTACATAAACCAAATTAAAATTCATCAAAGTACTCCAGCAGTTCCCCAGTGCTCTCAGCCTCTGATATCTTCCTGAATTTATAGGCCACAAAGATCCCAACCCCAATCATTATCACAGCAGCAACTGCAAAATTTATCATCAGTTGCTTCCTCTTCGCCTTCATTCCAACCATGAGCCCACTCGCACCCTCTTCAACTTCCCCCTTATCAAAATCAGTCTCCGGTACAGCCTGTTTCATTTTCTCAGGCTCTGGAGCTTGCACTGTAGGTGCCGGAACAGGTTTAGGCTCAGGTTCAGGTTCAGGTTTAGGTTCAGGTTCAGGCTCTTCTTCAGTAATGAGTTTCGGGAGAGTAATTGTAAGAAGACCACTTTCAAATTTGGCGCGGATTTCGCTAGCATTGCAATTGTCAGGTACTCGAAATTCCTTTCTGAAGCGTTTCCATCGGTTGCCATCAATAGGACGCTCGCCGCTGGTTCTGAGATTGCCAAAGTTATCGAGCTGAATCCTTAGGTGCTCCTTTTTAAAACCTGTATACACAAGAACTGGTAACTCATTTGGCTCAATGTTGTTTTATAAACATAATAATGTTTATATAAAAAGTACCTGGGAGCTCGATAATGAGTGTATCTAATCCTTCTTCTGTAATCCAATGCGATGAGGGGATGAAATCATCGTAAGATCGAGCCACCGGATCCATGACCAATGATCGATGGTTTGTTACTTATTAGGAGTAGAGAAATTGAAGGTTTGAAGGAGGAAGTGATTATGGGATGGATGCAGTGAGATGGGAAGTCTATATAGCAACTTATGGAAGGTTTTCTTGAGGTTGAAGAATAGATTATCCTTCTTAGTTTATTGGATTGGATTGGATGGTCACCTTCTAGAGTGGGTAAAGAGCAAGGTTCTTTATTTTGTTGACACTCTTTTGGTTTGTGTTAGGATTTGTTCTCAATCCTTCGCTTCTTCCTCGTGCTTTTCTTTGTCCTCTTTCACTGCATGGGAACCTATACCCTGCCCGAAACCACCTTAACAATAAGGTGATTGTATGGAAACCAAATTTTATTTTTAATTTATACATAAACCCTTTTTAAAGTTGGTTTTTGTTACAATCAACAACCTCCTATTTTTATTTTCACCAAAAAAAAGTCAAAATTAAGCTTAAAAATTGAATCATGTACATTGAATACGAGTTTTAAGGGTAAATTTGCGTTTTAAGTGGAGAATTTGGCTGGGAGTTGGTTGATTGTAACAAAAAATAACTTTTAAAGGTGATTTATGTATAGATTAAAAAGGGTGTTGCTACAAGGACCCAAATAAGGGACTCAATGCATGTGACATGTGAGCTGTCACCATCCGATTTCATGATGCACTGTTCATAAATAGTGTTTCATGCAACGGGATGATGACACATCACATGTCCCATGCCTTGGGTGTTGGGAATTCAACGCTGAAATCCCTAATGCAACAGAAACGCAGAATAGAGAACAGTACACAAGATTTACGAGGTTCGGCAATTTTTCTGATACAGATAATCCTCTATCTGCATTTTTCAGAATCCAAAATCTGATCCATCAAACTTCTCAAGTCTTATTTTCCCTTCATCTGCGGCCATGGCTCCCACTTGAATTTGACTTCCTCTAGATCGTTTCACGCTCTGATACCAGTTGTTGGGAATTTAACGCCGAAATCCCTAATGCAACGGAAACGCGGAATAGAGAATAGTACACAAGATTTACAAGGTTCGGCAACTGCCTACGTCCTCGGGAGCCACACAGTAAATTTCTTATTTAATCTAACAAGAAATTACAAATCAAGAGCAGATCCCTAAACTGAGATCTCTCTAATAAACACTGTAGCTACAGTGTTAATACCCACAATAAACAATAAAGGGAATAAACCCCTTTCAGATCTCTCTCTTCTTCTTTTAAATCCCTTTTCTTAATCTCCCCTCAAAATCAAATGAGAGCTGGAGATTGGCAATGCTGCTACGTTTAAAAGGGGGGGCCGAAAATGGGAACGCTACTGCGTTAAAGAGATCCGCCGCCTGAGAGAGATCGGGGGAAGAGGAGCCGCCGCCAGGGGGAAAAATCGGAGAACAAATAAAAGGGGGAAGCTTTGCTGCACCAGACGCTAGGGTCGAACCGCCAAGAAACGTCGAGGTCGCGTTCGCCAATTTCGAGGGTCGCGTTCGCCAATCGAAGGTCGCGTTCTCCACTTTCGAGCTCAACTGCTCGAGCCCGCCTGCGCCATCCTGGAGCTCGTCGGAGCTCCTCCGCCGTCGGAGGTTGGTATCCACCTTCAACCTAACATTGGGTCCCTTATTTGGGTCATTGAGGCATTAATGGATTAAAAATAAAAGGTGGTTTTCACGTAACTACCCTGTTTTGAAGGTGGTTTCTAGGGGGAAACCCCCTATTTATTAACTGTTCAAATGGACATAATGGTGTTCTGAATTTACTAACGTTGTCATTTTGATATGCATCTCGTGCCATTTTCCTTTCATCTTCGTTAATATGATGACATGATGATCAAATAATATTTGAATCATGGTTTCTCTTAGATAAAGTTTATTTGCTTCGAAGAAAAAAAAACTATCCCACTTCGATTTATCACATTTATGCTTATATGAACAAGTCAAAGGTTTAATAATATAAAACGATGTCTCAACTACATCACATGTAGCTAAACTTTCATCCTAAAAGATTATGATTAGTAATTTTGGCATTGACGTAGCATTAATTCACTGCTCATTCAATTGTTACTCACACGAAAGATTCTCAGCTTAAGCTGCACCTTCACAATATTCATCATATAGAGTTGATTTTTCTGACAATTAATGTTTCTATGAGTAGTCTCCTATTCCATTGTGATCGTGTTAACAGAATCAGATATCAATTAGAATATGAATCCGTTATATACTTCTAGTAGAATATAGCTCACGCTTTAACTTTCTGATATTTAATTAGTCATGTAGAAATACATCATGTTAATTTCAACCTACTTCACTCCCTAAAGCAAAAGGGGAATTTTTTTTTTTTTCTAAAATTGAACTAGGTAACTGTGTTCAAGCTCCTTTTTCTTACTTTTAAGACCAACTATCCATTAAGAAATTAATTCATTTCCGTTGTAGCATGTAAGAGGGCAAATTCCCAAAGTTTTTGGGGCTCTTTAGAAATTTATCCCGCGTAGAATAACGCATTTAACTTGCTCTTTAAAAACCCCAACCTGGTTTGGAAAATTCAAAGTGGTTTTGCGCGAAATTGCCAGTTGTTGGGGGAGTTTTGTGAAATTTACCTCGTGGAGATCATCAACAAGGAGGTGAAATACATTATTTATTTGAAAAATAAGATTACTGTTAAAAGTACAGTGTGAAGATAAGGTGGCAAAATAAAATTAATTGGTATATATAGTTAAGATGATTTAATAAAAATTCGTTACTATTTTTATTACTTTCATGTGACTTCAACATCTTTGTTTTGAGTAAGTCAGAATTACATTAAATTATACGTGACAACTTTATTAAATTTCATTTTCGTAACCACCTGCATGTAAGAAAAATACCTAAAATGTTAAAAATAAGTTATTTCCTCACTTTCATATTTCCTTGCATGCAAACAAACAACCCCTAGCCAACCTCTTAAACAAAAAAAAATAAATTCCCAGCTGGTTTATAAAATTCGGAGAATTATCTGTGCCAAACTCCCAAAGTTTGGGGGTTGTTGAAAATCTACCCCCGCTTAGAAATTTCACACGGCCAACTCCTACGCGAGACCTCAACCTGGGCCTGAGGACCCTAAAAATAAGAAGACTGATGGGCTGTTCTTCCATCGTCCCTTTCCCTTTTAAAAAGCAGCGGGCGGCAACCGAAAACCCTCAAAATGCTCAGCTCCTCTTCGATCTCAAAAACTATTCAAAAGCAGGGCGAAATTTTTGAGCAAAAACCCTAACCCTAGCTTAGATCTCCGATTTCTTTCATCAATGGAGCGTGATCCAAACCTCTCTTCTCTCCTTCGCAATCTCAAGGTAGACGAACCCTGGATCCCTCCAAAGACTTGGGAGTCGAACCCCTCCGAGAGTGGACTTGATCGACCTCTCGGTTTCGTTCAAAACCCTCAAATTTCGATCAACGATCTCTCCGCCATTTCTGTAAGTAATTCGCTTTTCTTCGATTTTGATCGTAAGCTTGTCTCATTTTCCACTAATTATCGTGAAATTATTTAGGAATCGGTTTTAGTTCGGCTAGCTGTAAATGCGTTGCAAGGAGTAAAATCGGCAATAGTTCAAATTGATCAGATCTCTGAGGTATTCTGCTCGACGGCCGCTGATCGAACTTTTCATCAAATTCCAAGCTTGTGGTGCCGATCATCGAGCACAAGCGCACTAGGGAATATGCTTAAATCGATAAGCCATTCAGGTTTTATCTTCTTCTTCCTTCGTGAATTTGTGAACCATTATCTTTATTCGAGTACAATTGGGAAAAATGGAAATGGAAATGAGAATGAGATGAAGATGCACCCGCCTTATAGCCTCGTGAATCAGGCATTTTCTGTAGCTATTAGTAAAGTTCTAGAGGGATATCTTTCTGCATTGAATACGTTGTTGTCTTCGGTGAAATTGAGACGCTCTGCGAAATTTGATGGAGGGTGCACTCTCATGAGTGTTGTTAACTCTGATGTTACTCTTCTGGAGGTTTACTTGCACAGTGAGGAATTGAGGACACACATTGAGGCTCTTGGAAATATATGTGCTCCCAAGGTTGCAGATTTTGCTGCCTTAAAGGGAAATTTTACTGCTGAGACTGATTTTGAGTTTCATGACTTCCCGAGAGGAGCAGATTTGCTTACATATTTGTATGTTCTGCTCAGAGTAAGACTGATACAGCTGTTCTTCTGCTTAGTTCTTCTTTATATTTATATAAAAGATTATAATATTGTTTATGCTAATATCAGCCGATGTACTATCTTCTGGCCATCTAAATTTAAAGATAGGTTGAACATCAAGTTTTAGTTTATGCTTCCTAAAACTCTATATTACATCAGAATATTTATGGTTTTTTTTTCACTGGACTAGGGCTGCTTATAATTTATAACCCAAGACTTCAAATTGTCTCTGTTGCATGTGAACACACTCTTTGAAATCTTTGAGATTAAACTTGCTATTGTACTTTCTTATAAGGAATTTTTATTTTATTTAGTTAACAAGCATGGACATAAGTTTTTAATAGGTTTCGCATGCCATCATATGTTGCTACTTGCTTATTCATTTTGGTATAATGGTATGTATGTTTTTTATGTTTAGAGTTAGCGGCCTTTGAATTCATTATGGTTGCTGCGTATGAGAATCATGACCATTAAAATAGGAGGCACACTTGTTTGCTTTAGAGTCTATGATACAGACCGCCATACTACGGGTGGAGTGGGTGTCTGTTTGTCCAGCATGATATAGATTAGACCATTAGAGCATGACCAAGGATCTGTTATGGAAAATAGTGTGAGAGGAGGAAAGAAAATACATCAAATCCATGCAAGAGATATCTATTTACATTTTTACACTTATTCAAATTGCATTGAAACTCACTCAAATACTTTCTAGTTTCTAAAGCCATATTACCTGGAACAAAATTCTGGGGGTAGTTTTAATTACTTGATCCCTATGTCTTTTTAACTTTTCCTTCACATCCTTGATATGACATAGTTAACCTTATGGAATTAGAAGTTGAAATGACACCTGATGGAACATGTACACTTTAAATTTAATCAGAACCATGTAGTGGATCTGCAACCCTATAGGAATGCGTGCAAAATAGTGCATAGCCCTGTGTTTTTCTTCATGTACTTCTTGACACAATAAAGGTCATTCTATGGCTCAATAATTCTAAAACTGCAAAACAAAAAACTTGCAATTCAAATATAATCTTCATATTAAGCTGACAAATTTCTTTTTTATGTTTAAACACTTTAGGATGCTGATCCTGGTCATCATGCACTTCTGAAATTTCTGTTCATCCAATCATGTGAACCTTACTGGGCTTTTATCAAATCATGGATTTATAATGCAAGAATAGATGATCCTTATGGAGAGTTCTTTGTGGTGTATTCACGCACTTCACCAGATTCAAATGTTATAACTGGCTCGCTCAATGAAATTTCTCTGGCATCCATAAAGGTACTGGTACTTTTCGTGAGCGTTTGTCTGTATGTTCATTATGTAATTACTCATTAACATACTTGCACTTGCATGGTAACTGTATACTTATGTCAAGCATGCTTTTGTGTAGATGTAACAGTCAAAATTTTTTATGTATATGATGTATTCACATTATAAAAAGTATATCCTTTCTGTATTCCTAATCATGTGAAATCTGACGCTCAGGAGCGAGAAAGCTCTTCAATTCCTTGTTTCCTGAAAGATGTTTGTCGACCACTTATTCGGGCAGGACAGCAACTGGAAGTTCTTGAGAAACTGCTGAACGTGTGCAATTTTTCTGTGCTTGAGGATTATGAATATTGTCATCTGGCAGATCTTGAGGATGTACTTCCTGGTCGGGTTGGCATGCTGAGCAATACAGCACCTTTTCTGAATCAATTGACATTCAGCAGAAAAGGCGTACAAGCCTTATTGCTTAAAAGGGAAATTATGTATGAAGCAGCTGTGAAGGAACTTCAAATTTTCTTCACAAATTTGAACCTTAGTTATCAAAGGAGGCATCACTCTGTGAGTCTCTACTTTTCCTGTTCTTTTGGTTAATGGCTGATGACTTTATATTAGCTTACCATGTTGATGGCTGTGAGCTTACTCAGTTATGTTGGCAAAGATCATATATTTCCTTCTTTTTTTGGTATCATACACAGGCTTTTGAGAATATCATATTGACGATAACAATTCTATGATATATGGTAGTTGAATCTTAGAACTAAAGCTCTTTTTTTTTCTGGCACTATTGTTGCTTAATGAGGTTTTGAGAAAATATAGGTTTATGTTGGCATGCCACATATAGATGTTGACAAACATATGAAGCTTTACCAGAAATTTATCATTCTTATATATGCTTAATTTGTTTTTTCTCACCTTTTTGTGATGTCTTGCCCTTTATTATCTTCTTATTAAGACCATTTTGTTTTAACCTCAGGAAAAGCAACTAACAATGTCCTTAATCTCAAGGAATGAGCCCTTGTTGTGCGAGTTGCACGCGCTCAAGGTTATCGATAGCGGATAGCGTCGTATAGCAATGAGGCATCGCTAAGGCTATTTGGGACTATTACGGTAAAATAGCGGTAAAAAGCGCAAAGTTAAATAACGCTTTAATTTAGATATGTATAAATATTAAAAAATAAAAGAATTAAAGAAAATTCTAGAAAATTTAAAAGTGCATTTGATGATTTAAAGAGATCCTAAACGTGAAATAGATATGTAACCGTCACATAACACTGAAGACGATTGAAGGAGTCAAAGAGTCGTCGTCTTCGAGAAAATGAGCTAAGCGGTGAGATGACTACGTTAGGAGGAGTTCACGACAAGAGGATGTGAGAGGAAGTGTTGAGGGAGGTGCCAGAGGCTATGGGAGGTGGCGGGAGTACGCAGGAAATTAGGGGAGGCGGTGAGATGTAGTGGTTGCGGGTCGGGTTTAATTTAAAAAAAATAAACCTCAAACAACTTTTAAATAGCGGTCAAAAAGCGCATTTTGTTTGCAATCACCCGCTATTCACTGCTATGGAGCTATTGACCGCTTTTACAAGCGAAAAACGCATATTCCGCAATATATCACAGCTATTGGACGATAGCGTAACAGGAAGGGATCACTAACGCTATTCGGGCCACTATTGCGGGGCTATTTACGGTTATTTATAACACTCACGCACTTCACTTCCTTTGGGCTTTTTTTTTGTGGAGCATATACCACATTGCATTAGACCCTAAGTTGAGATGTATTTCTACATGTCTATATATGTTCATGTCTATACTACTATTCTTCCTCAGTTTGCTCCGATTGAATAACAAGGATTTGTTCTGCCATAGAGGAAGTAGTGCTTTGGCTTTTGAAAAATTTATTTCATCCCCTTTGATTTAGAAAAATGTGCCTCCTCCATCTAAGAAATAAGTCAAGCCCTTAACACTTTAGACCTAAAGAATCTTGCTTCAGCCCCTTGTTCCACATGAAATCCTTAGATTACCCATGTCTTCTTCCTCTTCATTCTCTCTTTTTTCCTCTCACTTGGTCCCTGAATTTGTGAACTCTTTCCATTATTGTGCCTCTCAAGTTGACACCTCCATTGTGTCCTAGCCAACGTGTAGTGGTCTATAATTGTGCCTCTCACATTGACACCTCCCTTGGGTCCTAGTCGGAGTGCGGTGGTCATGACACTTGAAAGGAGGCCGAGGTGAACGGAGGCGGCAACTAGCAAGTGGAGGAAAGTTTGGCGTCGTGACAGTGGGTGTGGCAATGAAAGAGACTCCTACAACGAGAGAGCAAAGAAGATATGTTTGTTGGGAAAGGAGGAGAAAGTGAGGGAGGGTTTTGTTATCTTTATGTTATTTACTTTATTTGTTATTGTTACCTTTGTTCTTTCTCGTTATCTTTTATTGACTAATGATACTTTTTTGTGATTCTTGTTACAATTGTTCAATTCTTGTACTTTTCTTTATTTGTTGATACTTTTATTTTTTTCCTTTGCTTTTATTTAATGATACCCTTTTGTTATTTTATTTAATGATACCCTTTCGTTATTCTTTACATTTTTTACGATTTTTAAATTTATTTGTTTATTTAGACCTTTATTTACTTTTTGTCATCGCTTGTTCAATTCTTGTTACCTTTCTTTATTTATTGATACCTTTATTTATTTATTTTAACCTTTTTAAATTATTTATCATTTTCTTTGTTTGTTGATACCTTTGTTCCATTATTGATATATTGTATTTATTTCGTCTCCTACCATTGTCCATTTCTTGTTACCTTTTACTTTGATTTTTCTATTCTCCTCCTTCCTCAACCACCTCCTCTCACACTCACTATAAGCCCTCCTTCGTTACATGTTGTCTTGTCGACAACCTCTTTTCCATCACCTCCCTTTGGGCCTCACCACCACCACACTCCGGCTAGGGCTGGGCCTAGAAAGAGATGGCGGCAAAAGGAAGCAACGGGAGGCGGGAGATTAAGGGGGTGGAATGACTTCATGGTGGGTTCATGAGAGATATGAGAGGAAAAAGAGAGAACGAAGAGAGAAAAGACAAGGCTAGGAATTTTTGAACTTTTTCTAAGCCTACCACGAGGGCGAGTTATTCCCTGTGTATTGCCACGTTGGCTTGAACACATCGACTCCACACTATTCTCTCTTTTTCCTCCTTTCTTTGATTCCAAAAGTTCCAAGAAAATTTTATGTTCTTTCATCAGATAGATTTAGACGGTCGCCAGAAGATCATTAGGAACATAAAGAGGCTCACTAAAAGCATATTCATTGTTGCTATAAGTACCGTTCAACTCTGGAGTTTCAAAAGAGAGTACAGAGAGAAAATTTGAAAGAAAAGAGAGAAGTTTTGATGAATGCAATGGAATCCTCAAAAGGTAGCAATAAAGGCTTAAGGACTTTAGATTCAAGGAGTTAATAGTTTTATAAGTATCCAAATTTATCTATAGCAAATTTTTATTAGGCTCAAAGAAATTAGGGATAGTATTATTGGTTACTGAACTTGGTTGAAGTCTAGTCATATTTGAGTTCCTCCAACCTTAAGCCTTCTAAAAATATGTGATAATTGTGAGTCTATGCTTAATTATTACCAATATTAGTTCTTTCCTATAGTTTTGAAATCATGAGTTGTTCAAATTTGTGGTTTTTTCTGTTTGGTGATCAAAGAGTTGAGGATTTTGATATCAAGTAATGCTAACGTTTTTGAATCTTTCGGTTGTTGAATTCTTGAAGTTGAAGAGTTGCATGTTCCCTAGAGATAAGAATTTTTGTAAGGGAGGATTTTGATATTAAGTGACGTGAAATTTTGTCGATAAGATTTTTCTTCTAGATTATATATACATGGTCAAGACATGTTAGCTCTCGAATTTGGTTTTCGAAACTACCTTCAAACCTTTGTTTTATACCATGTTTAATGTATTGAATTGTTAGAATATGACTCATTCCTTGATGCTTGCGTACCCCTAGTTAGTTTCTAGAATATATCAGATACAATTTTTATAATTTTAGTCAAATTTTATTTGTTATTTGGACAACGAACTTTTCACCTTATAGATTTCTTCTTGGGCCCTGACCGGAGTGCGTTGGTCATGATACTCGAAGGGAGGTGGAGGTGAACAGAGGCGATGAGTATTGGTGGAGGAAAGCTTGGTAGCGTGGCGGCAAGTGGCAATGATGGAGAGTTAAATGTGTTGGTTGGGAAAGGTGGAGAAAGAGAGGGAGGGTTTTGTTACCTTTATGTTATTGATTTTATTTGTTATGGTTACCTTTATTCTTTCTCATTACCTTTTGAGTAATGATACATTTTTGTGATTCTTGTTACAATTGTTCAATTCTTATACTTTTCCTTATTTGTTAATACTTTTATTTTTTACGTTGCTTTTATTTAATGATACCCTTTCATTATTCTGTACATTTTTTACAATTTTAAATTTCTTTATTTATTTAGATCTTTATCTTTTTCATCATTGTTTGTTCAGTTCTTGTTACATTTCTTTATTTATTGATACATTTATTTGTTTTTCGTAACCTTTTTTAACCTCTTTACTACTGTTCTTTGTTTCTTGTCTTCTTAATACCTTTATTCCATTCTTACTACATTTTATTTGTTTTTTCCCTTACCTTTGTCCATTTCTTGTTACCTTCATTTTTCTATTATCCTTCCTCAACCACCTCCTTTCTCACTCGTCACAAACCCTCATTCATTGCATTTTGTTTCACCATCAACCTCTTCTCTACCACCTCCCTTTGGACCTCACCACCGCCACACTCTGGCAGGGCATGGAAGGGGACGACAGTGAAGGGAAGCGACAGGAGGCTGAGATTAAGTGGGTGGAATGGGTTCACGGTGGGTTCATGAGAGATGTGAGAGGAAAAAGAGAGAATGAAGAGGGAGAAGACAAGGGTAGGAATTTTCGAAAAAAACATATGAAGTTTCGTGTCCGAGGGGATGGAGATAACTTTCCAGTTCTCCCTTGATTTTCTAGTTTTAAAAAAGTTCTGCAACATTGCATCTGTCTCCCTCATCCAAAAAATACTTAATGATAAGGATTTCTGTTTCTTTGTTATACGAGTCGTCGTCCGAGCACCTTTGATTGCGGAATTATCAAAGATGTCTTTGTGAAGAAAATAACAAAAAAACAAGAACAATTCAATATGACGAAGGAAAATACCTTCTCTAGATTATGAAAAACAATAGATTACAAATCTCTTCCTCATAATCTCTCTAGAATAAAGAACAATTCTCTCTATTCTCCAAACTCTCAGATTTCCCACCCAGGAACCCTAAATCAATAGCGTTTAGATATATATATAAACCTTAAAAAACCGAAACAGGCTAGAAATCCAAACTGGCCTAGGAACCCGTTATCAGTCGACCGATGCACTCCCATCGGTCCATCGATATGTCTCCATCAGTCGACCAATAGGTGAGATCGGTCGACTGCCCAGAGCGGTTGTTTTTGACCCTATAGTGTGCATGTGTATCAGTCGATTGATACTATTTATCAGTCGACCGATCAGAGCCAGTCT